TCATATCTGAATGCCAAGCTTATCATCCACGCAAAGGAGAGTCCTATCCGGACAGGGGAGGAAGTCTTCTATCTTGTATCTTCACGGCCCACAAGTCCGGCCCATACCACATAGCCCGGACGCCCGGGACCCCCTAATTCAGGACTCCCTCACTGGTATCTTATATAAGCCAGTGCCGAGCTAGTTGATGGATAACTTACAATCCCTTGACTATGCATTGTACTTTGTACACCTCTATCGCAAATACAACACGAGCATACGTAGTTGTACCTTGTAAGGAGGGCCCAAACCTAGATGAATCTGGTCTCCTGTTTCTCCTCCTATCTAATGACCTCCTCGGGATACCCTATCGAGGGATCTGCAAAATCGACTCCAACACAAAACGTTGTTCAATGCGGTTGCGGTTGGAGCGGGTAACCAGGGAGACTTTTACCCAATATGAATGGTTGCATAATCTTTGGATCGGTCCACATCCTCCTTAAACATGGTAATAATGTCAGTCACACAGGACTTTGTTGCAACCAATATGCCGTTGTATTCATTACTTTCTTTTGTCGGATATGTTCTTGTTGGCTGTGTGCATTGTAGCCATGAAGAGGCTGGATGTTGCTTAATGTGTTTGTATCTACTGGATGCACATTCTGACTTAATAAAAACAACCTCTATCACGACAGGCGCGTACACTAACTTCCAGTAGTACTATTCACTCCATCTCGACGAACTACTCCGAGTATAGTTGAGCGATGCTGTTATTGGAGGTATGTCCAAAATATTGATCGAAAACATCAGTTGGTTGGTTAGTAAGCTCACAAGGATGTGACGCACATTCACTAATCCCTCCTCCGTCCGCTAACCTGCCGTTCGGTTTGGTTAATCACACAACAGGCACGCAGACTGACTACTTCCATTAGTACTCACTCCACGTCAGTGGCGAATCCGGGATGAAATTGAAGGGTGGGCTCAAAGTTAACGGTGAAAAAAACAAAACATTTGTTTGAAGAAAACAATATCATCTCGTAATTCTTTTGACCAAATAAGCTGAGATTTTCTTAGATTACTACTGGAAACATGTAGTATTTACTGGAATTTATGAAAAATATTAATTTTTTAATCTGCTTAAATAAAGTAATTAACATAACGTGAACTAGCAATTACAAATGTACAAAATTTGCTGATTCAAATTACTCAGCGACCAACCATGAGCACCGCCGACAGCCACGCAAATGTTTTCAGGAAGTAACAGTGATAGACGGAGAGGAAATAAGCCAAACATGATGACCCACCCCCAAAGAAACTGCAGCTTTAACCAGATTGTGAGCCTCACAGTTTGATGATCTCTTGTTATGCAATAATGGCGCACTACCGAACACACGCTGCTTCACTAAGAACTCCTTGATGATGACAACATTGGCACAAAGATTGTTCTCTTTGACATTCTTCACCATTTCTAGACAATCAGTGACAAACTGAATACGAGATAAGTTGAGGTCAGGAGCAAGTGATAGTGCTTCGTTTCTTTGGTGTGGGCAGCCCTGCGTGTGGGCTGTTGCATGTTGTTTGGCGGAAGGAGCCGAGCTGAGAAGAGTACTAGTAAAAAGAATAATCAGTTTTTTGGAGGGTAGACTAGAGCCCTATGGAGCCCACCTACTGGACTCGCCACTGCTCCACCTCGACAAACCAGTCGTGTACTCCTTTGTACTACTAATTATTAGTACTCGTTCCTAATTAAACTCACCCACGGAGACAACGACTAATACTACTACCAATAATGAATTTTCTGTATCTGTGGCACAAAGATGTTGGCCGCGGTTCCTCGCCCATACTCGTCGTACACCCCCGTGTCACCCTCAGCATTTATGCGTACGCGTATGAAAAATCGTAGCACCACATGCAAGGTGGTACAAATCCACTGCATAGCATAGGAGTCACGCTCGTGCAATGCATACACAGAAACGAGCATGCATGCATGTGAGGCCGGCCGTGCAATTCCCTAAAAAGTCCTTACCTGTTTGGTTCATGGGACTTAACATGCACTAAAAGACCATATTATAACTATAAATTTTTATAAATCCTTCTTTGAAAGTCTTATTTCATAAGTCCCAAATAACCACTTTAAGTCCCGCTTGTTTGGTTTAGATGAGACTTATAAGGACTTTTTTAAGTCCATAAACCAATAAGTTTCTGGAAACAAACACACTCTACATATGCAACGATTGGCGATCACTGATCAGTACAGTCAGCGGTGCATTAACCTCGGATGTCACGGTATCAGCTAGCATACGGGATCGGTGCATTAACATAGCGTGGTAGGATCGGCGACGCGCTACGTGTGGCGTCTGGGTCATCGGTCGTGCAGTCCGCAGTCCACGGGCCGGCCATTGATGAGGCCGGCCGGCGGCCATGCAACATGCAAGTGGGTTGGCCTGGGAGTATAAAAGTTGTATCAGTTGGGAGATCGGCAGGTGGGTCGCGGGCGATGATTCACTGACGGCCGGCGACTCGACTACTCAACGATCGACGGGCGGCGACCTGCTTCCCCTCGACCGTTGATCCGTCGCCCCGCGCTCGGCCGGCCGGTCTTGATGCTCCTCTTTGGCATACGGACAGGGATTGCGAGAGATGCAATGCAGACACGTAGTACTCCTCTTGATGTTCACTCATGTGGGTCGTCACGGTCCTGTGCTAGCGTGTAGCAACACCGAATCCAATGAACGAATGGAGAAAACACCAGAGGCTGCGCATCACGAGCATGTGTGTGAAGTGCCAAAGATATTGCGATCCGGATGGGACGAGAACCAGCAGGTCCGTGGTCGAGACTGCGGCCAGGCTTTCCTTGGCGTTCATTGGCCGGGTGCCACCCTGTCGGCAATGGGCATATGCATGCACGGCACGGGACCTCTGCAACCTGCATGCAGCATGCAGGGTATCCCCAGCCTGAGTTCCTGACCGCGCGCAGCAGCATGCAGAAACAGTGGCCGGCTGCGATGGATCCATGCATGAGCTGCCTGCGTGCACACCCCGTGCCGCGTAGCAGCAGCAGCTAGCTACAGTGTGCACCATTATACTCCAGAGCGAGCAGCCAGACTCGCAAGCGCATGAACCTTAACCTTAAATCAGCCCAGAGCCGATAGAAACGCTCGTATTGGCCGTCCAAACGATGCAACTTACAAACACATCAACACACTCCAGTGCGAGTGTCGGAACGATGTCACGTGAACTTTTTCCTCCTCTGGCGCTCCAGCAGGCGGTAAGGGAGGAACCCTAGCCGCTGGCCGCCTCACCACCACCTTTCCCCTCCTTCTCCTCCTCACACCGCCGCTAGAGGGCACGCCCGAGCGAAGCCCGGACGGCGCTGGCACCGACGGGGCCTTCTCACCCCCTCGCGAGTCGCGAGGCAGGGCCGGCGCTGTCGAAACAGTGGCGGCTGGCGGGCGGCTTTGTGGGGGCCGACACGGGGATCTGCTGCGGGCACGGTGGGCTGTGTGGTGGCGGGGCGCGCACGGGGTCATTCGGGTGCGTCGGCCGGATCTAGCCCTGCGGCGGCGCGGGCCGAGGGTGGCCACCTCTACCATGGCCTTCTTTGGCTGGTGGAGGTGGGTGGTCGTGGGTGTGCTGGAGGTCAGGGAATGGCGGACGTGGGATAGTGGCGCGGCGGCTCAGCCAGATCTGGCCTCGACACGGCACGTGTTGCAGGTGGTTTCCTCGATCGTGGACACTCCGGCTGGTTGGGGTGGCGGCGTAGTAGCGGCGGTTCGACCTTCCTCCCCCTGATTCTTCGGGTGATCGGAGCTGCGGATGGAAGTGCGCTCGGTGGCTAGAGCACAACGGCTCGACTTCCATCATCTGTGGATGGCCGTGGTGGCAGGGGTGCTCCAGGGAGTTGGCAGGGGTGCCTCCGAGTCTTGCTGTTGCCGAGGGTGGTGACGGCGACCTGGCCCCGGCCGGTTCGAGAAATGGTGTGGTGGCTGCGGCGCGGCCGGCATCTGCCCATGGCTTCCTCCTGCCATGGTCCGACCGACTGGGCCCCGTACTTGCCAAAAGGGTGTGCTTTTCCGACTACAGTGTCGGTGGCTCAGGTTGAAGGGTTGGGGTGTTCTGGGATTCCGGAGCGGCGTCTCTGGAGGTGGGAGCACGGTGCTCGTGGGCGGAGCCCGTGGCTCAGGTGCTGCCCGATGGCCATGGCCGTGTGGTCGGGGTGCGTCGATCGGTAGCGGTGGTGCGATGTCCGTACCTTGCAAGGGGCGGTGAGTGTTGGCCGGGATGAAAACCTGTTTTGTCTTCGAGCAGGCCGACGACGGCGATTTTGTTCCCTTCTTAAAGGCGTCGCCGTGGTCCTCATAGTCATTGCCCATCGTGTTGCTTCAGGGGAAACTCTGATCCACGGATCGGGCGGTAGCGGCACTCTGGTGCCGTGACCTTTCTGAAGGTGCCGTCTTGAAGCTCACGGTTCGTCGTATGCGGCTTCCTCTCTTCGTGGTGGTGCTCATAGTTGAGAACACTGGTAGCTCTTGTAGCGATAGAGGTGGTGTAGCCGTGCTCTGTGTATAGCCTTGAGAGTGTGCATGTATTAGAGTGGCATGTGTTTGTATCGACTTATTGATGGTTGTTGTTTTATATATAAAATAGGGCGAAAGCCTTTTTCGATGAAACAATGTCCCACATTTCTTTCTGTCGAAACAATCTCCCATCACATTTCTTTGTGGTGTCACGGAGGAACAAACACGCCGCCTCCGGTCGCTCTTGCATGCGGTATTCATACTACGTACACATTACTACATGGGAGTACCTAGAACTCATCTAGATGAGATATAATTTGGTCTCATTCATCTGAAAAATAAAAACAGATACAACCCACATCTGCACACACACATCTTATAGCATCACATCCAATAGCTATAAAAGATGAATGAGACCAAATTATGTCTCATCTAGATGAGTTCTAGCAAAACTGTTACTACATAACACGTGACCATCCAAGACTATCATCAACTTATCAAGTATCAACACACGCATATCGCTCCAACAGCCGGCGCGTTATTCCGGCCACCTTGCACGTACATACAGAGGCTCGTCGCCGGCCGCGCGGGCATCACGGCGGCGAGAGGCCGTGCCTGAGCGCCGCCTTCCAGACGACGTCGATCCGGTCGACGTCGATGGCGCCCACCTCGTGGTGCTCCCACCCCTCCAGGCAGTGCACCACCCCGCCGGCGTGGCACGCGTGCACCACCCCGCGCTCCATCGTGTACTCGCACGACCCGAGCCCCTGCACGTCCTTGGGCAGCCGCATGGCCGCCAGCTTGCCGTAGGTGCAGTCCCGGCGGAACTCGATCACCGGCGGCACCACGAACTGGTGGAAGTGCGTGCCCGCCGGCGCCCACCGCTGCTCCCTCGGCGACAGCCACTTGCCCACCAGCCACGTCTTGACGGTCTTGGCGGCGTGGTACTTGGTGACCTGCACCAGGTACTGCTGGAACTCCGCCGGCGCCTCCCTCTGGATCTTCAGGAACCGCTCCGACGACAGCGTCAGCATCTGCAACAACGCCACAATTTTCTGAATGAATCCACTGCAAATTTGTTTTGGAATGAGAGACATCAATCTGAAGAATTCTAGGGAAGCATACCAGGACTCTGATCTTCTTCCGGCAGAGGTAGAGCGCGATGGCCCGGCCGAGCTTGGAGGTGGCGCCGGTGAGGAACACCTCCTTGACACTCCCCGGGATCTCGTGGAGTATCACGGCGGCGGTGAGCGTGTTGCCGTGCACGACCCGGACCCTGAGGTCTGGGTGGCGGTCGACGAAGAGCGTGCCGCCGCCGTTGAGCGCCTCGTTCTTGTTGAGCGCGGCGAGGCTGAGCACCTTGACGCCCATCCGGTCCGCCCTGAGGATGGCGAGCTCGATCTGGCGGTTGATGCCGTCCTTCATGGGCGGGATGAAGTACTGGAAGCTGTAGCGCGGGATGGTCCAGGTCTGGTGGAGCGCGCCGCGGAGGCAGTAGAAGCTGACGGTGAAGGTCTTGGAGCAGAGCACCTGGAGCACCATGAGGCAGAAGGCGACGGGCCAGAGCGGGAGCAGCACGAGCCGCGTCGTCCACGGCTGCGAGCTGCACGCCCGGAACGCGAACGGCACGTGCATGGAGGACACCACGTCCACCACGTGCGCCAGGAACACGAAGTCCGGCACCCGGTCGTTCTTCCCTGCAATCAAATTTCACTGCTGAGTTTTTACTGAAACTTGTATGGGTTTGTGCCATGGTGGTCGACATGTCTGTGTGTACCTTGGTCGACCTCCTTCTGGAGCTCCCAGGACCTGGGGTGCACGGTGCCGCCGAGGAGGTCGAAGAGCGGCATGAAGAGGCAGAAGTTGGAGTCCTTCTCCTGGTGGTGCAGGCTCAGGTACCTGATGAAGGAGGCAACAGATCCACGTAAGTGTAATTTACTACACTTGCAGGTACATCAAAGGGATCCAAATTCGATCTCAGACCCTGGTTGGTCAGCCGTGAGAGCTCAACAAGGGACATGACGCTCAGTAACCCCACTGTGCCCGCTAATTAACCTGACAAGACGGGTGCAGCCACCTAATGGTAGACCATCAAGGGACACCAAGATGCAGTTCGGTTTGGTGGATGTAGTGCTAACGAATCTATGTATATATCTGTATTTAGCAAGCGGCACGAGCGACGGCGACGGCCGCGTGCCGTGGCTCCTCCGGGATCCGATCGCAATTCAGTCGGGGTGGGCACCGGCAGGGGTCGCCGTCGCCGCTCCGGGCATCGCGGGGCGGCGCCTTTCGGGTTGGTTGGGCGGGAGCTTCCATTTACGCCCATGCCCACGCTATCAGTAAAAGTACGTATCCACTACACATGCCCCTGCTCCCTCGCCATTGACAGTTACTGCTAGCTGCAAGCGCTTCGCGACATTGACACCCCACCACCACCTTCCTCGGGGATTACAAGAATCATCATGCTTCCTATCCCGCGAGCATCATCGTGATGCCGATGTCAGTTAATTTTTTTAGTCGGTATCTAACTAAGCATGCTTGATTGGCGCCGATTCCAGGAAAGGACCCGCGTCAAGTAGATTATTACGGATGGGCAATTACTGTTCAATTCTCTGACAACAACAGATCATGGCACCCATGAAGATGGATAGAACGGCTCACTCACGTTGGGGTGTAGATGAGGTAGCGGAGGAGGGGGAAGGCCCGGAAGGCCCTGTGGGAGATGACCTCCACGTTGCTGTACCCCATGCAGCGGAGGTAGTCGAAGGCCAAGACGTGGCCGTAGACGAGGCTCACGGACCCGGCGCCGGCCATGAACGCGCCGGCGAGCGGCGCCGCCATGGCCAGCGTCAGGACCAGGCTCTCCAGCGGCGTGCCGTACGCGGCTGCACGTAGGGACAAAGTCAAGTGGTGGTTAGCCATGCAGTTAGCAGTGCTAGAATTCTCATAAACTCAGCATTATTGCAAGGGAATTGCTGGAGTCAGAGTTGTTGCCGTGCTACAGCAAGGTGTACGTACAGGTGAGGGGCTGGGTGACCGGCGACGAGTGGTGCTTGGAGTGGTACCGGCTGAAGAGCGGGGCCCGGTGGAGCGCCCGGTGGGCCCACCGGAACCCGGGCTCCGAGACGGCGACGTGCAGCAGCAGCGCCACCGCCCACCCCCGCGGGTCCCAGGCCCGGAGCTCGCTCACCGCCGGGAACACCGGGCTGCTGATCGCCATGGCCCCCAGCAGCGTCTGCATGATCACCATGTTATCCCTGCGCAGCCAAGACAGTAAAAACGTCAGCTCAAAATTACTCTCGCCGTGTTTCGCTGCCTCGTGTCCTACAGCCAGCTCCAAAATAATTGGAGAAAGGAAAGCGATCTCTCTGGCCCCGGCCATCATGCACTTTGAATGCGTCTGGGCAGTTGCTTGCCTCGCCGCGGCTCATCTCATGCCGAGAGGGGTGCTGCGCCTGCTTCGGCCGTCGACCAACAGACACCCAAATCCGGATTCAATTACTGCGGCATTCACTGCCAAGTGCCGTGCGTGGCGGGCCCTCGAAGAGCGCCGCGGGCGTGCGTGCGTGCTAGCTCGTGGTCACCGCCGGCCAGAGCTGACCAGAGCTCATCATGCCCGAAAGGAACGGCACAGGCGAGATCCCTCTTCTCTTCCCCATGGTTACGGTACGGGGATTAAATCGCATATAGGAGACGAAACCAACTTGGCCAAATCGAACCAATCCGAAGCGGATGTCGAGGCTATCCACAAGCTGTAGTGGCGCGTGACTGTGCAGGTGATTAATGGCGTGTGCAGCTCACAGTTAGTCCGTACGGTGCGTGGCATGAACACGAACAGTGAAGTCAAACTGCGTAGGTAGGTGGGTAGGTTGGAAAAAGCCGGCGGCCGGCCATGGCCATTGGTGGAGCGAGCGAGCGCGCGTGCGTGCATGGGCGAGCGGTAGGAGTGAGTACGCACCAGTCCCACTCGGCGTCGATCTGCCGGAAGTCGACGCCGTCCGGGACGACGCGGCGGCGGCGGGTGAAGAAGAGCATGTTGGCGTAGGAGAACCAGAGCTGGTGCGTCAGCGACCGGAGCGCCAGCAGCAGGAGCAGGTGGAGGCACCACGAGTCCGTCGGCGCGCCGCCCTGCTCCCGCCACGCCTGCGCCACCTGCGCCACCAGCGGCCCGTACAGCACGTACTGCAACATCAAGGTCGACAGAACAAGGTCAGCACGCGTGTCTACATACATGTCTCGAATCAATGGCGCCGGGACGAATAAGGAAGAGCTTGCCTTGTATGCGCCTAGGCCCGCCCACGGCCAGGAGGACAGAGGAGCGCCCATGGCCGCCGCCGCAGCCGGCCGGAGACGAGGAGGATGGAGAGGAAGAGACTCTTTTCAGTGGCGGGTTCGATGTCTCTCGCGTGCTCTGCTCTCTCCTCCGACGCAACTGTGTTCTGCTCTGGGTCTGGATACCGGCCGGCGCCTCGCTACTTATAGAAGACGCGAGAGATGAAGAAGAGGAGAAGAATTCAACGACAGCCTTCCCGTTTGGTGTTGGCGTTGGTAATACTGGACGCGTTGGTGGTTACCGGTTAGCCAGCCAGCCAGCCATGCCGGGGGTGGTGGTGGTGCTTTCGCGCCATAAAAACGGCAGTGCCCACAGTAAAGTGACTGTGGCCGTGCCATGCCCATGAGCACCGGCGGCCGGTAGCCAGTCGGGACGGCCGGCCGGTGGATCCCAGGTACTCCTTCCGTTCACTTTTGTAAGTCGTTTCAGACAACATAAAATAGGCTGTTTTGTACATTGTCTGAAATGTTTTAAGGTCTTATAAAAGTGAACGGAGGGAGTAGTAGAAATAGACCTAAGTACGCGCCGGGTCCTGTGAACGCCCATGCTTTTCGTCCAAAAGTCCCGGCGTACAGTAAAGTGCACCATGATTACATGAATCGGGCATGGACACTCCAAAGTCTCGCAAATTGCTGGACGCCTCGAGCTGCTACGCCGTATGCGCTTCCCGTAACTTGGTCGTTCGGCACGCACGCACGTACACCGGCCGTGTGCATGCACTTCGCGTGTCTCGTGGCGAAAAATATCTCGCGGGCACGTACAGTGCAAACTACGAGAGGAGCAATGCTACGAGAGGGGAGGGGGTATGTTACACGTACTAGACCCACGGGGCCTCTGCAGTGCCCGGCAATGCTACATGTACAAACGATTTACAGGCTTTTACAGGATGGTTAACCTTGATTGGTCAATAGGTGAACGGGGCGGCCCACCCCCCTGAAAATCAGGGGGGGAGAGGTTTGTGATTGGTTGTTAGATGATAGGAGCGTGTAAAAGCGTGTAAGTCTTTGTATGTCTAGCATTTTTGCTGCAGTGCCAGTGCTGTTGCAACGGACGAAACAGTTTTTCGGGGCGTGCATGTGCGCGCGCATGCGTCGTCCGTCCGTCCGTTCGTGGTCCATATGTTCACCACCATGCCCTGCCTGCCGTGCTAAATGCCAAGGAGCCGCTGCAGGAGTTGCATCAGCTTTCACCCAGAATTTCATACCAAGTGCACGCATATGCACGATGTGCTCCGGCGGTACATTTTTTATTTTTGAAGGAACTATCCCGCGTCAATTCCGTGGTAGCTCCTCCAATTACCGGCCTCGTCTCAACTTGAGATATCTATTCAAATTTTCTTCTTCTTCTTCTTTCCATTTTCTTGCTATTTCTCAGTCAACTAAGAAGCCTTAACTTTGTCGGAAAAAAAAACTAAGAAGCCTTAGAAATACTACATTTTCAAGAGAAAAATGGACGCGTGCAAGTGACGTGAGTTTTGTGTGCAGGGTCATTCGACATATGTGTCGTTGCTTCCCTAACGGAGGAACGTGTTCACAGAAACCACATGCATGCGTGCATGCGCCTCTTATTCTCAAGTGTGCAACCAATCACTTTCCCTGCAAGAAATCGTTGGCTTATACAGAGAAGAAACCATTAACGTCTCGTACCTCGCCACAGGCGGCAATGGCCGGCGAGCGGGCCGGACGGGCCGGCGCCGGAGGCGGGCGTCTGGCTGTTTCACACCTTGCTGGGTCGGTCTGAAGCTTCCACATGCCTACGTACGTGCGCCCAACGTACGGTCCCGATGGGTTGGGTATAGATACGATCGACATTCTTGTATATTGCCTCGGCCAGTACCTCACGTACTATGATTCCTACGTGCCTGAACGATCGTGTAGCTGGAGTGAAAAGGACGGAAAAGATCGTGCCTAGTAGTACAAGTGAGTGTATAAGTCGGCAAGAATTCATTGCCGAAGCTGAGTAAAAAGGACGGGAAAGATCGGACGAGAATTGAAGGACAGTGCACTAGGTAGCTGCACTATATTTCTGCTAGTCGACACCTACTATGCTCGGCTATGTACCATGTACTAGATGTAAACAGAGCGGAAACGAACGGAACCAAGTGCTATCATATTTGTTTTCATATTTTTTTGCAGACACAAAAACGAATACAGATTGGAATGGATATGAAAACAAATACAACCGAAAACAGGCACGGAGCAAGCACAGAGCGGACGCGAAAACAGAAATGGCCATTGAACATAACTTTAAAACCCCTTGAGTCATGGAGAAATAAACACAAAACCAAACAAATTTAATGAAATGTTACCATGGCTACAAAATGATATGATTATGTTAGCAACTTAACGTAGTACTACCTCCGTCTGGGTTTAGTAGCCCCTCCCCCCCATCTCATTCCGGGTGAAAGTTTGACCAACAAATTTGACTAACAAGACGTGACCTATATGTCACAAAAAGTATACCTTTGGAAAACTCTTTCAGATACAAATCCAACAATGTACTTTTTGTATAGCATATATTCTACATTTTATTAGTTATATGAATAGTCAAAGTTTGACTCAGAATACTAGAGGGCCTATTAAACCCGAACGGAGGTAATATTGTAGTAGTACTGGACAATTGTGTATAGGGTCTAGTTGAGTTCGTATGTGATAGTAGAACTTGAGTTCCAAATGATCCATTCTGCTCATTCTGTCATTATGTGTTGTTTCGTGGTTGGGCTACAAAGCAGACATAGGCCTATTCTAAAAGCGAAAATTACATATTCACGAAATGGAAAATTTCCGTTTCCACATCTGTTTCACCAGAAAACACCGTTCCGTTTTGCAAACATTTGTTTTCGTTTTCATATTTTTTTGAAAAAGCAGAAAGTTTTCGCTTCATTTTCATATATGTTTGGTTGTGGCTACAAGACTACAACACATAGGCTAGCAGAGGCTAGGCCGGCGGCACGAGAGGCAGGGGTATCTCTCTGCAATATCTCGGGGTGAAAGTGAGAATGAACCCGTGACGGCGTGACGCGATGATTCACTCACCACGGCCGGAGACGCCAAGATGATGCCATGAAGGTACGTAGAACAGTCCAAGGGTTGTGTGGTGCCACTTCCCTCTGCTGCGCAAGCACGGGGGTGTGCGCGCGCTCAGGCAGCTCGTGCATGCATGGATCCATGGCAGTCACTGTTCCTCCATGCAGCTGCGCGGGCGGGGTCGGCAGCTGCATGCAGCAGGTGGCAGAGGGGCTGCCGCCGTGCCGTGCCGTGCCGTCCTTGACTCCTTGCATATGCCCATTGCCGACGTGGAGGCACCTGCGCCCGGCCGGCCAATGAATGCCGAGGAAAGACTGCCCACGGCAATGCCAACGGTCTAGCTCTCGGCACGACCATGGACCTGCTCGTCTCCACCGGACCTCAAATGCACGTCTTCATACTTCACATATACACCGTACACTGCACACACATGCTCGTGGCCCATTCGTCTTTTGTCCGTTTTGGTCGACCGCCTGCTCGGTGCTGGCCTTCTCTTAAGTTTGGGTCGACGGTGCGCCCAACGCGCCGATCCATATTTGCCCGTGTCGCTGTTTTTATTAAATGTACACATATTTTGCATAGTCTCACAAGATAGAAGTTCCACGAGCCGAATAAATATATTGTAGGTTACAAGCCGAATAAAAACTAAATTGTCTCGATTTATTTTTTAAAAAGATCATCTATTGGTTGCCAACATGACCTCACATATGCTCAAACCAAATCATCTTGCAGCTGAATGTGAGTTTTTCGTCACGCATTTCATGATGAAATTGTGTCAACTGTCCAAACGTTGCCGCTCCTCCTCCATGCTCAGGCACAACATTGTCACCCCGGAACTGAAACAATTGATCATAGATACGTTTCCGGGCGTTCATCCTCTATGATCATATTGTGCATGATCACACAAGCAGTCATCTCCTCTCACAACTTCTTCGTGCTTCAAGTTCTAGCAAGATACCGAACGATGCCCCATCGAAATTGCAGAACACTAAAGGCACGCTCGACATGCTTCCTAGAATTCTCTTGGCATTCCGAGGAAGCCCCTGCTGGCATTCATCGCCAACAAGCGGGTAGTATCTTTAAAAGTCGGCTCTCTCAAGTACTCATGGCCAAACACTGCAACCACAGCCTTACAGAACCTGTACATGGACTCTAAGCACGTAGACTCGCTCATACGGATGTACTCATCAATGAGATCACGTGGCACTCCGTATGCAAGCATCCGGATAGCTGCGTGCATTTCTAATAAGAGAAGAAGCTAATCTTTTCAAGAGCATCCTCCTTGCACTCGAAATACTTATCATATCCGACCACCCCCTCTAGAATACGGTTGAAAACATTCCTAGCCATACGGAAACGGCGCCGGAATTGGTGATGTTTGAAGAGCGGGTTGGTTGTCTCAAAGCAGTCCTTTCAAATAAGGGAATGGCCGCTCTGTCGGTTGCGATACAATGCCGAAGTGTTCCCCGGGATCAAGCCAAGGAACAACGGACGCTGCCTATTAAGGTGGTCATGGACCAACATGGCAGCCACCATCTCCTCATCATTAGATGAAGAACCGTTGGAGTCGCAGAGCAAGTTGTGAAAAAAGAACTCGTCGGCTCGTCCATTTGCACCTTGGGGGTAAACTGTCGAACAACTTGCGGGCGTCGTCGAAGAAGCTGGCCGTCGAAGAGATGCGTGCCTCCGCTGGATCAGGTAGCTGGCCTGGCGGTGTCAGGTGAGCGTGGCGGTGTCAGGCGAACAAGCTAGCCGAGTCCACGAGGGGGAGGGAGGAGGGAGGACTTCGTGCATGCAGTGGCGTCGGGGTGGGTGATGGGAAACAACGGTGGCCCGGCGGC